ATATGGCCTTCGGGAATATTAGATACTACAATCGGAGAAAACACAGCCTATAAATAACACACACAGTAGAAAGCAGAGACAATTAATTCATCTGGCTTGTGAGCAAATTATCAGGAAGTGGTTCCAAGGAGGGTATTGCAGACTGACTGTCCTGGACATACATTCTGAGATGGGACCAGCAAGTAGGAATTTATTAGGGAAGTTGAGGGGCTTGAGACCAGTGGAGGGAAGGGAATGAAGAGAAAATAGGCAGAGGGGGAGGTCAAGATGCAATGTCATCTCAACGGCTCCAAGGAGGCTTCAACCATTTCCCAGAAAGCTGTGAGACAGTGATGACCCTTCACAGTTTTCCCAAGTTGGGGCAAGGAGCTCAGACCTCTACAACCCCTGGTCGACCAGTCGTGGCATCTATATAACCCCTGAAAGGTGCATGACCTTGACTAAGTCCTTCTTTTTGACTCAGGAAATTCTGAAAGAGGAATTACAGCTAACTAGTGTCTTCTGGCAGCACTGCAATTAACAGAGGGACTAAGTCCTCAGTAACAAAGGAGGACCTCGATGGGACATCACAGTGTCCACTATAGGAGGTGTCATTTGCCGGGAACATGCTGATACTTTAAAGGAGAGTTAATACTTTCCCAATTTTATTGGGACATGCCCACCCTTTTGTTCATGTATCATCTATGACTTCCTGCTACAGCAACTGAGTTTGCTAGTTGTAGCAGAGGTCTTATAGTCTGCAGGGTCTGAAACACTCCGTGTTTAACCCTTCGCTGACCCTCGGTCTAGGGCTCACAAACATCAAATAATATATCACTTTCAAACATAATATAAGAAGTTCAATCCAGTATGTATTTTTCTTGCCTTCTATTCTTGGTGCTATTATTGTCATACATTTTACTTCCACATCTCTGATTCATTGTTACTGTTTTTGTTTTAAGCGCTCCATTATCTTTTAAAGATGTTTAAAAACTGATACAATGTTTTATACTTACTGAGGTGTTTACCATTTTCAGCATTTATTTCTTCATGTAGATACAAGTTTCAATATAGTAAATTGTCCTTGGAGCTGAAAAAATTTTCCATTTCTTATAGTACATTTCTACTGGTGATGAACTTGCTTAACTGTTGTCCTAAGTATCATTATGTTGTTTTCATTTTAAAGGATATTTTGGCTGGATATAGACTTTGAGATTGGTGGTTTTCTTTCTTTTTTTTAATCACTTCAGATACACTGTTTCATTGTCTTTCAGCTCATACTGTTTTTTCTGAGATGTTATTGTCCTATGCTTGCTTTCAAGATTTTCTCCTTTGTATTTATTTTTTACCAGTTGATTATGATGCATTTCAGTGAGTTTTTCTTTTATTTATCTTGCTTGTAATCTGGTAAATTTCTCAGATATCTGGGTTTATATTTTTCAACCACTATTTCTTCAGATGTATATATTTCTCCCCAATATTTTTTATTAATTAATTTATTTATTTTGTTACAGATGTTTCTCCTTTTTTCCCCACTGAGTCCCCCTCCTCCGCCCTCCCTGCCCTTTCCCCAGTTTGTTATCCATGTCCACTGTTCATGCACACATGCATATAAGTTCTGTGGTTTATCTCTCCCCCACCACCCCCTCTTCTGGGGATTGTCAGTCTGTACCCCACTTCAGTCTCTGGGAATACCCTATTCCTCAGACTATTATGTTCATTATATTCCACAAAAAGCGAGATTATATGATACTTGTCTTCTCTGTTTGGCTTGTTTCGCTTAGGATGATACTTTCCAGGTCCCTCCATGTCATCTCAAAGGATAAGAGATCTTTCTTTCTTAGAGCTGCATAGTACTCCATTGTGTATATGTACCACTGCTTTTTTATCCATTCATCTACTGATGGACACTTGGGCTGTTTCCAGATCTTAGCTATTGTAAATAGTGCTGCTACAAACATGGGGGTACATATATTCTTTCTGATTGGTGTTTCAGGCTTCTTAGGGTATATTCCTAGAAGTGGGATCACTGGGTCAAATGGAAGTTCAATTTTTAATTTTCTCAGGTAACACCATAGTGTTTTCCATAGTGATTGCACCAGTCTGCATTCCCACCAGCAGTGTACTAGAGTCCCCTTTTCTCCACACCCTCATCAACACTTGTTGTTTGATGATTTGTAGATGGCGGCCATTCTGACAGGTGTGAGGTGATAGCTCATTGTTGTTTGAATTTGCATCTCTCTGATGATTAGTGATGTTGAGCATTTCTTCATATGTCTTAGCCATTTGTATGTCCTGTTTGGAGAGGTGTCTATTTAGTTCCTCTGCCCATTTTAGTACTCTATTTACTTAACTGTTAGGACACAATATCCTGTAGGTTTGTGGATTACTGTACATTTTTAAGCCTTTTTTCTCTCTGAGCTCCAATTTGAAAGGTTCATATGATCCTATAATTCAAGTGCACTAAAGTTTTTATTCTAATTTGCTGTTAAGCCCATCCAGTAAATGTTTTATTTCAGATATAATTTTTAGTCCAAAAACTTTTATTTTTATTTTTTTGGTCATTTCTTTTCCATTAAGATTTCATATTGCATCTTTAATATTTATATATTATCTTTCAATTAATGGCACTGATGTTTATAATCTCTGTCTCACAGTCCTGGGCTGCCAATTTTATCATTTCGGTCCCTTTTCAGTCCAGTTCTATTGACTGACTTTTCTCTGGTTATAAGTCATGTTTTCCTGCTTCCTCAAATGTCCAATATTTTACCAGATTGTTATACTGGGCATTATGAATACCATGTTGTTGAGTTTCCAAACTTTCATGGCCTTCCTTAATGGAGTGGTGAGTTCTGTTTGAGCAAGGAGTTATTGATTTGTGGGTAAGACCGATCTTTTTTCAGGCTGGTTATCAACCGTTGTTCAGATGTGTGCAGAGTAGCCCTTATTTTAGTATTAAGTAATTCTAACCCCTTTCTAAGATCTTTACTGAATGCCTAGGGTTTTCAACAAATTTGCTCAGGCGTGTCCAGTCTGAAATCAATGCAGTTTCAGCCCTGGGCGTCCTCTGGTTGTTAGGTCAGAACTCCCTCCAGCAGGTCTTGAGGAGTGTTGGGTTTCGAGGACACAGCTTGGGAGTCATCTAGAGTCTGAACTGTAGAGACTCGTTGGCGATCCTGTGCAGATGCTTGGAGCTCTTTCTCTGCACGGCGGCCACTTTCTGGAGCTCTGTCCCACAAACCCTTTTCCTCGGCAGCTTTGGTCCTGGTTTGTCTCCATTTCAGTGGTGCGGCTATTTCTCTTTGGGGTGCTCCTCCATGGGCCGTGATCTGGAACGTGAGCCAGGCAGAAAGCCAGGAGGCTGGCAGGGTTCACCTCATTTGTAGATCTTCTCCCATGGATCAGGGTCCTGCAGTGTTTGTTGTCCAATCTCCAAAGAGGGTAATTTTATACGTTTTTTTAGGTTTGTAATTTTGTGTGGTGGGAGAGCGATTCTATCATAGCCGAAAGCAGAAATAAGCCATATAAACATCATTAAATGAATGATCTATCTGTGATGATTTACAAAATGATTTTTATTAGCACTGTGATCATTAAATAAATTATTTTATTGTTGGTCTTTAAATTCCTTATTTGAAAAGTGATGCATATATTTTTGTGTATACTCTAAATTGAGTAATTTATTGAATATGTTTATCTTACTTATTCAGAATAGCAGCCAGACTCACTCAAAAATTATATTGCCTCTTAGCATTAAGCATTATGCCATTTTTTCTGTAATGTATTTATGTACAACCATAGTTATTTTACATAGTGGTATAAATTAGGAGGCTTTTGGTTCTATATTAGTGCTATTTTTCTAACATAGGCTTTTGCATTCTTAAAATTTGCCAATTATTTATTATATTGTGCCAAAAGAATTTCATTTCATTTAGTAAGTCAAATTATTTTCCTAGGAATGTGACTATCAAGAGTCATTGGTTGTATATCTCTTAAATATTGGTGAATATATTGCCTGGTTTACTATATACCTTAGTTCTCATCCATACAAGGCTTAATGTAAGACCATGTCTCATCTTTAAAAATGAGTATTCTGCCCAGCCGGTATGGCTCAGCAGTTGAGCGTCGACCCATGCACCAAGAGGTTGCTGGTTCAATTCCCAGTCAGGGCACATGCTCAGGATGTGGGCCAAATCCCCAGTGTGGGGCATGTAGGAGGTGGCCAGTTGATGTTCTCTCTCATTGATATTTCTGTCTCTCTCTCCCTCTCCCTTCCTCTATCTCTAAAGAAAAATCAATAAAGAAAAAAAATTTTTAATGAGTATTCTTTGAACTCTGACCTTTTGACAGCAAAATATATTTCAGAGTTGTGTATAATAACTTTCAGTTTCATTTATAAACTACTAAAAGATAAAGCCTTGTGTGAGGATTGTTACAGTCTGGCCAGTGTGGGTGGCTCAGTGGTTGAGTGTCAACCCATGCTCCAAGAGGTTGCTGTTTTGATTCCCAGTCAGGGCACATGCCCAGGTTGTAGGCCTGATCCCCAGCGGGGAGAATACAGGAAGCGGCCAATTGATGTTCTCTCTCATCGATGTTTCTATCTCTCTCTCCCTCTCACTTCCTCTGTTTCTAAAATCAATAAAGGAAAAGAAAAATTTTTAAATAGATTGTGACATCTTTTTCCTAGTTATTTTTAGTTGGAGAATTCATGGTAAATCGATCAACCCTCAGCCAATTAGACTTTGACATGTACTAATAAGGTCTAATTGAGGTATTATGAAGACATTTGCTCAGGAGAAAGCAAGCACATAATTATACCATAAAGAGGTGAGAGCATCCATGTAACCCAGCTGGAAGAAGATTAGTCACAGTCCCAGTGGCATCTGTAAAGGACATTTTGTAATATTTATGTGAAATACAGCAGTGCCAAGGCCAACAGCAAGATGAAGAATAATCCGTGGTCAATTATAGAAGCTGAACTTTAAATGTCCGCGTTCCCCCTTTGTCTCTGCCTTGTCCAGGTGCTGGGGGATGGTCTCCGTCCGACAGCGACCATTACCAGTGGCTTCAGGTGGACTTTGGCGGCCGGAAGCAGATCAGTGCCATTGCAACCCAAGGAAGGTACAGCAGCTCAGACTGGGTGACCCAGTACCGCATGCTCTACAGCGACACTGGGAGGAACTGGAAACCGTACCATCAGGACGGGAACATCTGGGTGAGTCACTGTGGACAGGCAGAGGCACGGAACTGAGTCGCAGACGTCTGACCCCGGATCCTCTCTGCCCGGGTGCAGCCCGGGGATGGGGAGAGGACTTGGGTGTGGCCTGGTTGGAGGTTGATCTTGCTGAATTTTGTTTCTTGTTTTTGTGTTGTCATTCGCTGGTACTTGCTAAATGAGAAAGAAATGTGAACAAAACCCAAGGAGGCGGGAATGTAGACCCACACCCTAATATGTCCCACCCCACACCACACCTTTCTCATAGTTAGAATATCTTATCTCTCAAAGTGAAGGTGTCCCTGGTTCCCAAGTTCTAGACTATTTCTCAGCAAATAAAACCTCCCAGTAAAACTGCGTTGAAACCTAAAGGAATATTTATTATGTAAATCATGGAAAGGTGATAGAACACAATCATGTCTTTAAGCACAGTATTTCGAATGACTGTAGTTTTGTCTGGAGTGCCTCTCTGAAAGGGTACACATTGTTCCTGAATGCTGAACCATGGGTTCCCAAAGAGAATGGGAAACAACGTCCTGACTTACGTTTCCATGTCTTACTCCCACTTGCTCTCACTTGCCTCAGGCTGTTTCTGTTCAAGATATTTCGTTAAGATTGTCACGTGGGAAGGCAACTGACGATGGGGTTGACTTAGATCTGCTGATGGGTGCTGGGCGGAGCGGTCAGCATCCTGCTGGGAGCTGGTCCCGTTTTCTATTTCGCTTCAACTTGGACCTTTTAGCTATGAGACACCACCCAAGTTACTGAGCACTTATAGGTGAAGGGAAAATTAGGGAGAAATACGGTTTTCTTTTAAAATTGGAGAAAATAGAAGACCAGCCATAGTTCTGAAGGACAGCAGACACCATACGGAGCATCCCTTTCCCAAACATTTGTAAATATTTTAAAATATGACCTGCCTTCACTCTGAGATGTACGCACTTGTCAATGTTTATCTATTAAAAACATGGCTCTGGCCGGTTTGGCTCAGGAATGAGAGCATCGGCCCCCAGACCCAAGGGTGGCAGGTTTGATTGCAGCCACAGGAACATGTCTGGGTTGCAGCTTGAGCCCCAGCCTTGAGCGGTGACTGAAGAAACCGTTTTCTTAGATCGCAATTTCCATCTAAGGCTTAGGGCCGTGGGTCTCAGTCCACGTATTTAAAAGGCCTGAGGAGGTTGTAAAGAATTTGGATGCCAGGCACACCAAGACACATGAAATCAGAATCATCTAGGTCAAAATTAAGTTAATGATGCCGATAAAATATTTAAAGACAAATATCGTCAATATTGAAATGATGAAGAAATAATCTAGAGGGGTAGGAAACAGTAATATATAGTAAGAAATCCCCTTATTGTAACAGTGGTTGAAACGCTTATTACAGGTCTATATTTACTTATTTCTTTTACTATGAGAAAAATATATATATATAACATTGTTTAGCCTCTTTACTCCTAAAATATTTCAATTCAATTGGTAAACCATTTGTATAAATTACGCTTGAATAAATTTGTTTAAAATACTAGATTTGGTCCAGTGGAGTTGAATTATGTTTAAATGCAACCATGACCCAAATCGAGTAAAGCCCTCAATATGAAACAAGAAGAAAAACAAGGAGGAAACTTACTTTTTAAATTGTATTCTTCACAGTATTGAGCAGAACGCTGGGGATTTTTAACCCGATCAGAGTCCACTCGTGGAGAGTTCATATTTGAAAAGTCCTCAAGTAATGTTCGAGAGTAGCCGGAGTTTTAGAGCAAGGCCTGAGGCAGGTAGGACTCAGTACCATGACACCAGCTTTTGAGAAAAAGAAAATGCTTTTCTTGCTAAGTGGACACACAAGGAAACAGGAGACAAGGCTCAAATCTGTCTCCCAGATCCAGGGTTTGGGTCAAGTTTTAAGGGGGAACAGGCCGGTATGCGGAAGCATTGGCGGGAAGGTTTTCGTGGAAGAGCTTGGAACCTGGCCAGTTATGGTAAGATAAGGGGAAGGACTTCAGCACCTGGTCTTCTGGACAGCGGGCCCTTCTCTTCTGGAAGGGTTCCCACCTGGTGGCCAGTCCAGTCCTGGTCCCTTGGTTCTGTAGGGGGCGCACGACTTTGGTTCTCAGAGCTGTTGGGGGTCAAAGATCCTTCCTCTGAGAATACTTCGGCTGTATGCCTTGTGGTTTTAGTCTGTTGTCTCTGAAAAGCAACTCAGTGTATCATTAGAAACAGCACAGGAGCAGTTTGAGCTGGTTTTTCGATTACACGGGCTTGGGTAGGTGGTCACTTCCACAGCAGTATCCAACAGTAACTGTCATGTGAAATAAGAATATAATGTCCAGAAAATAAAATAAAATGTGAGGCCAGAGTCGTCCTGTAGAAATAACTTCTGTCAAGCCATGACTGTGTGGCAAGAACATCTGTGTGCATATTAGGGTGTGTAAGGTGTAGGAAGCAGATGGGGGGGGGGCGTCTTGTTATGGAAAGTTTCCATTTCACAACTAAGATAATTCAAAGCCTGGAGCATAATTTATAGAAAAAGTGATTTTTAACCCTGGATACATAATGGAATAGCCTAGAAAGCTTTAAGACATAGGGATGTCTGATCCCATCTCCAGATGTTGGATATAGTGGGCCCAAGGTGCAACCAGGTCATGGTAATATACAGCCAACACTCAGAACTGTATCTTAGATTGGTTTTTGGATTTGGGTGGGGTGTAGATGGAGGAATTTTATTGTTAAAATCAATAGTAAAATAGAAAATTGGAAAGGACTTTTCTTAAAGTTTAGCAGAGAGAGAGAGAGAGACAGAGAGAGACACAGAAGGTCTGACCAAGTGACCAACCAACCAACAGACTAATCAACTGAGAGTAGACAATGAAGGCTCAGGTCACCAGCTCTTCCTGTGAAACACTCATTCTTTTCTAACTCTCTGAGGAGCCTAACCCCAAATCAGAGTAACGTGTTGATAAAATCATCAGAGGGGCTACGAGCCAAACTCCGAAGTATCTTCCCCGTTTCTGTTTGTGTCAAGTCTTCATCTCACAATTCAGAGAGTGCCAGTCCTCACCTATCACACTGTGCTCAGGCGGTAATGAAGAGGCTGCTAAATGCAGCAATACCTGAGCTCTAATTCATGTAGCAGACACCAAGCAGTGAGAGAGAATCGTGTGCTGACTGAACACAGACGCCAAGGGCTGAGTAGGGTAAAGTCTTCCAAGGGGGACTCTTTGGGCAACATAACGATTACATGACTTTTAATAATTTATGACAGGAATGTTTTAATCCTGCGAATATGAAAACAGTCCATCATTTTGATGTATTCTACAAGATAACATTCATTGATTTTAGCAGTTCTTGAGAACTTGAGAATATATGGCTTAACATGTATCCGGTGATTAAAGTTTAGCACTTACAAATCTCAACAAAAATGTACTTTGGCTTAAGTTTATTAAAAATGGTCATTTAATATGTCTGGCCAGTGTGGCTCAGTGGTTGAGTGCTGACCCATGCACCACAAGGTCACCAGTTTGATTTCCAGTCAGGGCACATGCCCAGGTTGTGGGCCAAATCCCGTGGGGGGCATGCAGGAGGTGGCCAGTTGATGTTCTTTCTCATCGATGTTTCCATCTCTCTCTCCCTCTTTCTTCCTCTCTCTCTCTCTAAAATGAATAAAGAAGTAACAAGTTCATTAATATTGGACGTGTTATAATCCAATTAGTTTATGGCATAATATATGTTGCACTGAGATGAAAGAGATTTTTGACATAGATAAGATTGGCTGGCTTGTAGGTGGACAATGCCTTATGTCAAATTTCAGAGAGTCAAAAGGTTTTCGAGTCAATGCTGTTTTGAGGTTGCCTTTCCTATCTATTCCTAAAATGATTGATTACTGAGAAGAATGCCAAGTAATGTAAATTTAATCACTTGAATATTATTTTTGACAAATGTCAATGGTTATTATTTCTCTAATTGCAGGGGAAATGGACAACACAACTAATCTTATTATAATAATCTCATTAAATGTCCATATGGAGTTTTCAAATTATTTTCTGACCTTTGGAGAATATGTGAAAATAAGCAAAGAACAGCTCATGTGGATGAGAAATTATGATTGTGTCTCAGTATTTTTGAAGTCATGAATCTGAGTTTGGAATGAGAATGGTTCTTGAAAATATTCCTGAAAACGGTTCATCTGACCACTGAGTACTCAGAGATGTGAGTTGCTACATGTACTTACTTAGTCAGACCTTCTCCTGTCTCGTTGATACTACTAAGCATCATAGAATTCTTTATACTTTACCCACAATGCCATTTCCTTTTACTTAGAATTTCCTCTTCAATGTAAAAGGATAATATGTACAGATCAGGACCATTGCCCACCTCCTGCCAAGCATTACATTCACATATTCCACAAGCAAATGTGCGCAATTTTCTTGATCGTATTCAGGTTTCCTAAGTACGATCTATTGGACATGGGGAATGATTCTACAGAAGCATGTCTCATCAGTAGTCCATCCACTCTTACATTAAATCAGAATTCCAGCAGATTTTTGCTAGGAGGCTGCATTTAGGTTTGCTTAGGAAAGTCAGTCACTGGATTTTGAACGCAGACTATGTGAAGCCAAAATGGAAAATTGTGGTATCAGCAGAGAATGCGTTCCCATAGCATGACTGTTTTGTTGGATAGTAACACACTACACGTTTGCCTACCATTTAGACATGTTCTTTGTTTTACACTTGTTTTCTTAAAAGATACTAAAATGTTTGTATTTTCCTAATTATTTTTTAAAACAGTTTTGATCCCTCTGTTTATGGTAGGCAGGTATGAGGCTGTGATCAGTACAACAGTATGTGTTAGATGGAGTGCCCCACAGACCAGAACTGTTTTATTATGTTTAATAACATGGTTAGATAGTCATCAGCAATATAGGAATATAGACGTTCATATTCTCTAAGCAATGTTAGAGTATTAATTTGCTAGATGTGTGATAAACCTGGATCTCTATCACTTA